TTATTTCATATTCTTATTAATATTTTATAAAATGGATCAATATTTACACCTTATGTTATATTCACCAAATTGTGGGTCATATAAGGTCATATATGGGTCCCTAATGGTCATTAACTACAAGTCTCTCTCTCTCTCTCTCTTGTGTGGGGGCAGCGTGTGTGTACCAAGTGTGGTGTGGAGACCCCTAGCCCCACCGGTGAGAAGCTGTGGTTGTGTAAAATCTGCGCTGAGACCCGGGAGATGTGGAAACGCTCGGGCGCCTGGTTCTTCAGAGGGATCCCCAAGCACACCCTACCTGTCGCCCCCTCCTCTTCTGCGCCTTCCACCACCTCCAGGAGACCTCGCCTCCCGCCCCGCAGGTCTCACACGCTTGGTTTCAAAGGTAAGGATGGATTCATGTCTTGGCTTCTAGTGATAGGGGTTTACGCTTGGCTTCAGAGATAAGGATTCAGATAGGCATTGGAAGATAACGCTACATGCTACCTCCTCAGAGTCTGTGTCGTGGTGAGTGTGTAAATATAAATCCGTATAAATCGTGTTAGTATATAGCTCGTACAGGTGATAAGTCTTGTTGTAGTCTTAGGTTAGGTTAGGTTAGGTTAGGTTAGGTTAGGCTAGGCGTTTGCATAAAATTTTGGCTTGGGAAAATACCAAAATGATTTAGGACAAGAACTGTTTAGGGAAAATATTGACATGGGGGGAAAAAAACAGCATTTCGCTGAGGCAATATTACGGGAAAATATTTGGTGATCCTCTACGTATAAGGTGGAGGAGGAGGTGAGGGGAGTGTAGGAGGTGAGGGAGGAGGAGGAGGTGGAGGGAGGTGTAGGTGGGGAGGAGGAGGAGGAGGAGGAGGAGGTGAAGAAGTAGGTGAAGGAGGTAATCCAGGACTCGCCAGCCGCGTCTTTTAATATGTTATCTGAAGGGTCCGGTAAGAAGGGGAGGAGAGGAGAGGAGGTTGTTGACGCCAGGTTGTTGCTGGGGCCGCGACCTTCTGCTGTGTGTGTGTGTGTGTGTGTGTTTGTTTGTCGTCTGAGAATGGGAGGAAGAGGGAGAGAAAGAGAGAGGGAGGGTGAGAAGGAGGGAGAGAGGAGGGAGGGTAATGGGGTATTTATGCAAGGCTTCATGGATGTTGTTGGAACTTGTAGCATCTTGTTTGCTTCTCTCGTCTGTCAATGTGAAGAGAGGAAACTATTCTCTCTCATATTCTCTCCCTTTCTTTCTCTTTTTCTCTCTCTTTTTCTCTTTATTTTCACTCTCTTTCTCGTCTTTTCCAGGGTTCCTCTACTTCCCCTTCTCCTCGTTAGGTTTTCCAGGGTTCCTCTACTTCCCCTTCTCCTGGATCTTACGTTAGGTCTTCCAGTCTCTCCTCCAGTTAGCCTCTGGATGCCGACACTCAGGTGATATTAAGAGTTATTTTCATGATATATTTTGATGTAGGAAGATGTGATGAAACCCTGAGATATATATTACCTCTTCTTAGTCATATGTGTGTGTGTGTGTGTGTGTGTCTCTCTCTCTCTCTCTCTCTCTCTCTCTCGTGTTTTAGACAGACAGACAGAGGAGCCGTCGAGTTATATTTTTCTTTTCCTCTCCGTACAGCTGTGAGACGTAGATTATCTCCTTTGTTCTTAACAGACTCTTCTTCTCCTGCTGCTGCTGCCTCTCTGTCTCGTCGTTTGAGCCCATTGTCTTCCTCTCCTCCTCCTCCTCCACGACCGAGGTAGCTGACTGAGAAGGGGTTGTGAATAGGTCTTAGTAATAACGTCGTCGTACCGAGACAGAAACATTGGACTAAGTTGGTATTGATGTTTTCGTGGTTAAGTAAGTCGATCATGTTGGTGTTTTCGTGGTTAAGTAAGGTGGTTGATGTTGATGTTTTCGTGGTTAAGTAAGTTGTTGATGTATTCGTAATGTAAAATAAATTGATGTTTTCTCGCGATATAAAACCGTATGTAAATCAGGTCACATCCCCATGACATAAAACTCAGGTGTGATTTAGTCCAGCAAATAAAAAACAAATAAATGAATAAAAAATTAAAAAACCTCATCGTTGAAATTAGAATCGAATTGGTTTTTCACGCCGCATCAGGAAGGATTTTTCAGAATGAGCCCCCCACCTCCCCACACACAAAAAAAATGTTAATGAGTTAATGAGTGACATTAGGTGCACCATTTTACCTGCCATATTTTCTCAATTAACCGCAGGTAACATGTGTCCCTGGGAGCCGTGTGACTGCTGTGTGGGAATTTGTTCATTAACGAATTGATGTATTTTTCACAAACTTTTTTCTTCACTTTTTTTAAACATAATTATAGATTTTTTGTTTCTGTTTATATTTTTATTCATTTATATAGTTTTTATATTGATTGATTTTTTTTTCCCTCCACACATCGCGTCACCAGCCAGTCGGGAGGTCGGTTAGTCCTCTGTTACTCACTGGTGGTAAGACCGAGACGCGACCACATGTACTGACAAGATTGTTTTTTTTGTCCTGGTAACTCCTTCCTCCGAATGAGTCTTGTCGGGTTAGGTTAGGTTAGTTGCCGTATACGGAGAACCTCCCGGAATGGTTCTACCCCGTCACACGACCATAGGCAGGCTAGTGCAGTATGCAAATGGGGCCACAATAACAATAAATTAATGTAATGCTTCACCCCCACCTCACCCCAGCCATACCTCGTCGACCCGAATTGGCACCAACTGGGGGAAAGGCTTTTAAAGGTTAACAGCACCACCACCACTACTACTACAATCTGAACAATGCCATTACGTGTGACCCCTGAAAGACCAGTTACCTGTGTGTGTGTGTACGTTTGTCTCTCTCACCTTTTGGGGGAAAGAGAATTTTAAATGATTAGTGTATGGTATAAAGAGGTGGACACTGGTTCTATATTTAAAGAGGGATAGGTGATAGGAGGGATAGGTGATAGGAGGGATAGGTGATAAGGAGGGATAGGTGATAGGAGGGATAGGTGATAAGGAGGGATAGGTGATAGGAGGGATAGGTGATAGGAGGGATAGGGGATAGGAGGGATAGGGGATGGAGGGATGGTGATAGGGAGGGGAGGGCTAGGGATAGGGAGGGATAGGTGATAGAGGGATGGTGATAAGGAGGGATAGGTGATAAGGAGGGATAGGAGGGATGATAGGAGGGATAGGTGATAAGGAGGGATAGGTGATAGGAGGGATAGGTGATAGGAGGGATAGGGGATAGGAGGGATAGGGGATAGTGCACAATCATACCCTACGTCACCCGCACCTCCCTACCACTTTTCAACATTTATCTTCAAAACTGTGGAAACGCATAATGATCACAGACAGACAGACAGACAAACAGACAGCGAGACAGACAGACATACACTGACAGACAGACAGACAGATACACACAGACAGACAGACAGACAGACAGACAGACAGATACACACAGACAGACAGACAGACAGACAGACAGACAGAGATACACACAGACAGACAGACAGACAGACAGACAGACAGACAGATACACACAGGCCAGACAGACACACAGACAGACAGATGACAGACACACAGACAGACACACAGACAGACAGACACACACAGACAGACAGACAGACAATCATAATCTATATATTTTGTGTTAAAACTCTTAAATATAATCAATTTATCTTTAAAAAAAAGGTAAAATCTTTTAAATTATTGAGAGAGTTAAACTACACACACACACACACACACACACACACACACACACACACGATATTTCCTGTGCTTTAATCTGTGTTATTATGGCAGCCCTCGTCTAGGTTCCTCCCCCCTACCCCCCTCCCTACACCCCTCCCTCCCTCTTCCCCTACCCTCCCCCTCCCTACCCACATCTACCCCATTGCACCTTATTGGTGGCTAGATCTTCACCCCACCTCCCCCTCCCTCTCCCCTTCCTCCTTCCTCCTGTCTTCCCACTTCCTTCCTTTTCCTTACCTTTCCTATTTCTCTCCCTTCTCTTACTCCTTCTCACCCTCCCTCATCTCCGCTGCGCTGGGCCCTCTCAGCTAGCTTCTGATGGCAGGTATAGCTAATGTCACCTATCACGAGGAAGACCTACAGGTGAGGGGAGATACAGGGCTTTACTGGTAAGATGAGGGAAAGATGCTGTGTGTGTGTGTGTGTGTGTGTGTGTGTGTGTGTGTGTGTGTGTGTGTGTGTGTGTGTGTGTGTGTGTGTGTGTGTGTGTGTGTTTTACCCGAGAGTATCTGGAGAAGAAGCTACACAGGGTAAACTAGAGCTGACGAAGAGTAAACACAGGTGAACGAACATACTCAACAACAGCAGCAGGAGGCGGTGCTGGTAGGGTGGTAGACGCATAAGAACACCCGCAGTAAAATCAATAAAGTGTCAGGTATGAAAAGCTTTTTCTTTGATGTTTGTCCTCAAAAGCTGGAAATATTTTTAGGTTTGTTTTTTCACCTTTTTTTTTTTTAATGATCATTGGAATTCTTATCATCCAGTAGTGCTGACCCTCAATTGACTTGACTCTGTTTGTTTATGAATTTTAAGTTATAAGTTTATATTAATCCGTACGTACATCCCCTTTAACAGGTCTGAGCGAATACTTTTAATCATCCACGTATTTTAAAATCAATACCAAGATGGCGTTGATATTGCGGCGAGACTTTACTATAACTTGATGAAATTTCTTGGACTCATTTAGAAGGAAAATGAATATTGATGTAGGAAGCTTCAAGAATTCGTGTCCTGAGTAGTGTTAGTTTTTGACATGGTTCACCCACCTTTAAGAGTGGGGGGGGGAGGAGGTTCCAGGGTGGTACACGCATGGTGGGAGGAGGAGGGCCTTGGGATTATTATTATTATTATTACTTTATTATTATTATGCAATCTCTCTCTCTCTCTCTCATAAACATTGTGACCCAAAATGGCGTCTTCATCCCTATTGCTTGTCTTGTGTAGTGAAGTAATTGTTTACCTCACGGACAGTTGTTGTAACTTGTACGTCCTCCGCCAGGTGGGTGCTCCTCGGACCTGGAGACGGACACCAGCTCAGAGGACGAGGCGCAACGGAGGCTGAGGAAGACCGCTAGTGAATGTGCCTCTCATGACTCTGACGGCATGCCCCCCATCAGGTAGGTCCTCTCCCCCTTCACCTCTTGGTAATTCTTCCCACTCTGTGTTTAGCAGTTCTTATAATTAATTCATATTTTTTCCTTAATTTTTTACTTTTTTAAGGTGTGTGAAAACTATAGATGTATTCAAGTACCTGTGTAATAAAATGTTTTTGTGAGAATTGTATTACTGGAGACCTAACACACCCTCGCTCCTCCTACCCCACACAGCCCCAATCCCAGGTCCCGTAGCGTCTCCCCTTCGCCCTTCCGCTTCGACTCTCAGGACTCAACTGGTGCTGGGGGCGCCACTAGGGACAGCTCCGACGATCACGGCTCCGACAAGTCCCCCGTCTCACCTGGTAAGTGGTTGTGTTTACTGTCTCCCTGTCTATCTCCCTGTCACCTCCAATACAAATACAAGCAAGTCTCCCATTCCACGTGGTGAATGTCTGTCAGGTCGCGTCTCCCACACTCCATCCTGACAGTACGGGCGGCGGGTAAGTGCACATAACGCTATTGACTATTTTCATTACCGTACTCCAAATCTTGCCTTGTGAGATATAATTACCAGCTCCTCATCTTTAATGCTGTACCGATTTCTATTAAGATTTCTATTTTTTTCCTTATTTATATAACTTTGAATGTGAGAGAGGTATGAAGTTAAAGTAAGTACCTCGCGCGTCACACTACTGGCCGTGTTAAGTGAGGCATTCCAAGCTTTTATTTACCACATACAATTGAAACTATCTATCTGTCACGTGCCGCTGGTTGGATGGTCATTGGCTGGTATTGTTTGTCAGTCTGTCTGTAATTGTTATTTTTAGGTTATTGAAGCTTGAAAAAGAATCAACCAAGATGTGAGATCAGTGTTGTGTTCTTTGTTCAGTCATTCAACACCTTGGCTTCTAACTGGACATATTACACCCGTGTTCCCGCTCTCATAGGTCAAAGGTTTTCGAGACTATTAATTAGGTGTGCGCCAGAGTAAACACCTGTACCTCGCTCGGGGGGAGAATGGGAGGTTGTCGTTGATACGTGGACGCCATCACTCGGCGACTCCAATTAGAGCGAGCTGTTGTGAAGCCCCAAGTTTATTGTTACTCAGCGACCTTGCACTACTACCACCACCACCACCACCATCACTACCACCATCACTACCACCACCACCACCACCAATCACCGTTAAGATCATCGAGCCACCGACCAATCACCCTTTAGATCATCCAGCCACAGACCAATTACCCTTTAGATCCTCTAGGCACCGACCAATCACCATTTAGAACCACAATACATCAACCAATCCTCTTTAAGACTTAAATTCCTCAACATGTTCTTCAGTTTCTGGGTAGGAGGAGGACAAATGGGTCAAAATAGGTCATTGCAAGATGGAGGAGGAGGAGGAGGTCACGCGAGGTCAACTATATAGAGAAGTGGGTCAAGGAGAGAGTGGAGGAGGGGGAGGGACTGTGTGTGTGTGTGTGTGTGTGTGTGTGTGTGTGTGTGTGTGTGTGTGTGTGTGTGTGTGTGTGTGTGTGTGTGTGTGCCAGGAATACACGTTATACTGTCTCATGTAATGGAAGTTAGTTAGGGAAAATATTTATATCATGGCAGAGACTTAAAAAAGGAATTTAAGTATACGTTCAAAACTATTTCAAGTTGATTAGAAAGGAGGATTTTTTTTTATTTTAATTTCTGTTGCTTCTTACCAGTTTCTTATCTTTCCCCTCCCTTTCGTTCCTCTTTCCCCCTTCCCTCTCTCTTCTATTCCTCCTTCACCCTTTTCCCCCCTTCCATTCTTTCTACCACCATTTCCCCTTCCATTCCTCTTGCCCCCCTTCCGTCCCTTCCATTCCTCCTTCCACCCTTCCCCCTCCTATTCTTCTTGCTACCCTCCTCCCATATTTCTTGCCCCTTTTCCACCTCCTCTTACCTAATCTTCCTTCCCTCCTCCTCCTTCACGCTCCAGGCCTCTGTTTGTCCCCGACCAATTAATTCCATCTTTCTGGACTGTTCGTAACTTGACAATCGCGGAATTAGTTTCATTATACACCCAGAACCTCGTAGACCCCTTGGCTGGCCTTTCTCACTCCCACTTCACAGTCAGAGGCCACAGTTACCCCTCCAGTCAGCTCTCTTATCCCACAGTCAAAGGCCACAGTTACCCCTCCAGTCAGCTCTCTTATCCCACAGTCAAAGGCCACAGTTACCCCTCCAGTCAGCTCTCTTATCCCACAGTCAAAGGCCACAGTTACCCCTCCAGTCAGCTCTGTTATATAAGGCATCGAATCATATTTACTCCCACCTTTTGAGACCATTAAGCATCGTTACACCAGGTTAAAAGTGCCGCCAAGGAGTGTGTATAGTGAAGTGTAACAGGAAGAGTAACTAGTGAGGCTGCCTTGTGATACTGGCGACCTCTTGTGGCGGTATTTGATAACAAGTAACAGTTCTTCATTGTAATATAGGTTTGATTTATTGTGTTATTTTATACCCGTATGTATGTATGTATGTATGTATGTATGTATGTATGTATGCATGTATGTATGTATACTCGTGTGTTGATACAGCTTCAACTACAACACCACCATAGTTCCATGTTTGTATTTTTAATTACGGTGTGTGTGTGTGTGTGTGTGTGTGTGTGTTATTCTGTTCTTTAGCCTCGCGTTATCGGGTTACATGGCACAATATTCCTCGTTTATTGTGTGTGTGTGTGTGTGATTGTCATACCGCTGTTTTTATTGGTTACACTTCAACACTGTGAGTGATTTTCCGCCCGTGGATTGCTGCTGGTTAGTCTGTCTGTCTGTCTGTCTGTCTGTCTGTCTGTCTGTCTGTCTGTCTGTGAGGTGTATGAGTTGAGAGAGAAAAAACTTGTGTGTATGTCTGTGTCTGTGTGTATATATATTGATGTATGTATGTATGCGTATGTGTGTATGTGTGCGTCTGTGTGTGTGTGTCCGTTTATGTACCGTGACCAGATGTGTATGTATGTGTGTATAGAGTATAACTAAGTGACCTACAAGACGAGACGAGAAACGAGACGAGACGAGACGAGACGAAAGAAGAGTTGACTGTCCCATTGTAATCTAGGCTTTTGTATAGAGATCTTCACAGACTATTTATAAGGGCAGGTTGGGTCGTCTCATCTGAAAGGCCATTGTGGGATTGGCTGAGTTGGTGTGGGTAAGCCATAGTGGGGGGGAGGAGGAGGAGGGGGGGGTGTACACAATATACGGATCATATAACCTAACCTAACCTTGCCTTGCCTCACCTTACCTTGAAATACACTGTTATAAATATGTAGAACACTTTATATATATCTTTCTTAGTATTATTGTTATTATTATTATTATTATTATTATTATTATTATTATTATTATTATTATTATTATTATTATTATTATTATTATTTGTGTTATTATTTACATATACAACTTCAATTTATTGTTTAGTTTTTATTTACCTGTTATGTATTCATTCTTTTATTTTCGCAGATAAAACACCCCGCCAGGTGACCTATTAAAACACAAACAAAACCTCAGCGCTTTATTGCTCGTACTTACCACAGGAGGCGATGCTGTTGCCCATCTCTCCCCTCTATAAACACTTACCCTGATGCTGCTGACGTAAACAATTCTTAAAGGAGACGCGATTTTTTTGTGATTTTAATTGCAAGTTTGTGATTTTTTCGAAGCTTTTTTTTTGCCAGATGCGTGAAATGAGACGTGATTTTCTGGTGATTTTCCTGAGAATCTTGATAATTTCGTGATTTCTCTCTCTCTGTATGTGATTTAGTGGAGATTATGCTGCTAAACGGATCTTGAAGATGGAGAGTTTACTTCTGATTAATGAAATCAAGTCAGTGATTTCTAAGTGATTTACGCGTGACAATTACTCCCCAAGTGTATAATGGTGATTGGATTTACTTGTGACTTAAAAAAAAAAATTGACTTATTTTGTGACTTAAATGCAAAATGAAGAGGACATTTACTTGTGTTTCTATACACAAAAAAAGTCAAATTTCTTGATTCTTGATAAGGTTTGATTATTTTTAGTTTACATGACGTCACAGTAATGGTGGTGGGCCTCGTTGTATGTAACTTAACGATGTGTTTTAACTTTTGTTATTATTTTAAGTTAACGAAGAGGCATATTTACAAGATAATTCCTCTCACATTATGCTTTCAGATATATATAACGTAAGTACAGTGTATAATATTGTAGTGAATAACCCCCCCCCCCTCCTTAAGGTCTACTTTATAACCATTTCAATAGGCCTACTAGAATTTGTACTGCATTACTAACACTTAAGGCCTATGCAATTTCTACTTATATTAACCCTAAGTTGCTTTTAAATGGTAAGAGATGATGTATGTATGTTTATCTAACAATAAATAAAAGTATATTGGAGTTGTTGATAATGAATGAATTTTTTTAGGCCTAATAACCTAAATTACCTAATTAATAGATGACCAGGTGTACACAGGTAGCTTAATCCTGTTCTTAAGCTCACCTGTGTCTGTACACTTAAGAGGATTGTAAATGATTAAGTGGAACTATGTATGAAGGTTTAGATTCTGATTAAAGCTTGAACTCTGATTAAAGCTTGAACTCTGATTAAAGTTTGAACTCTGATTAAAGCTTGAACTCTGATTAAAGTTTGAACTCTGATTAAAGTTTGAACTCTGATTAAATCTTGAACTCTGATTAAAGCTTGAACTCTACTTAAGAATTGAACTCTATATCGTAACAGGAAGCTTAAACTAACCTAAAGCTTAAACTCTACCTAAAGCTTGAACTAACATAAAGCTTTATTTTTGTTTGTGTACCGTTACCTTAAATACCATCTTAATTAACAATATAATCAAGGTGTTTAGTGTGTGTCATTTGTGGGAGTCATTGTACACACACACACACACACACACACAGAAACACGGACAAAATTTCTCGGGAATCAGAATTTATTTTGTCTGCCTCAGCGATCAAAAAGTCCCCGTCATTTAGGGTAGAAAAAAGAAGAAGATATATTCTGTCTCCTGTTCCATAGACTACCATAGTTAACTAATATTTAAAAACAGTTGAACCAAATATAGGAAAGAGAATTTACTTGCTGGGAACATAATAATAATAATACTCTTAGATTGGATTACACCTATAAAAAAAAACGTATATATGCACAGAGTAATGGAGGTGGTCTTGTGGCATATATATGAAGTGATATGTACTGTAACTAAAATCTAACCTAACCTAACCAAACCATAACCTAACCAAACCATAACCATAACCTAACCGTAACCTACCCTAACCATAACCTAACCTAACCTAACCAAACCATAACCATAACCTAACCTAACCT